GAAGGAGGGGGCTTTAAACGACTCATTTTTCAGTTTTTCGCTTTTAAAACTCGAAAATGGTGCGTTACAGTGAAAAAGTTCTTCAGTACAAAATGAAAGCTTATTAAAATTGCTACAAGTTTGGTTATATACATCTTTACGAAAAACTGAACCGTTTTCGTGCTACCGGCTCCGGAAAGGTGGTCATTTCTAAACAAAATTGTTTTTCACTCAGGTTTTTCGTATATTTTTGGCTTCTAAATCCTCCCCCGGTCATTTTAGGGGAAAATCGTCAGAATAAAACCTGTACAGCATTAACATCCCTATAGTCCGAACCCGTTGAAGTACGAGTTATCTCCATACCCCATGACTCTATTCCACGAAGGATGCTTCAGGAAAACGAAGAAATCGGCTCTCTATGAGGCTTTCCCTGTGTGCATGGATGCAGTGAACCTCCAAACCATTTACACTGTAGTGTACGGTGACTTTCTCCTTCACAGAGTCAAGGGACCACCTTTCTCTTTCATCTGTGAGCAGTATAATAAATCACTATTCTTCCAATTGTGCAGTTGTATTCGATGGGTACAGGACATTAATACCATAAAACAGTTCAGTTTTCGTAAAGATGTATATAACCAAACTTGTAGCAAATTTAATAAGCTTTCATTTTGTACTGAAGAACTTTTTCACTGTAACGCACCATTTTCGAGTTAAAAGCGAAAAACTGAAAAATGGGTCGTTTAAAGCCCCCCTCCCCCTTCCCCCAGCGGCACCGGAATTTGGAGGGACTTTATTTTTTCTTGTTCAGGGAACCTCTCCCTACACATTTCTGAAAAAATTGGAACTAGTATTTTTAGTTCCTCTGATGGCCCATTTTTGGTCTAAATTGACTGGGCTATTAGCAGTCCATCTTAATTTATAAGTTCGTGATACTAATGGCTATTAAAAACGAGTTGCTGTCGAGTCACCTTTGGCAGTTCAAGCATTGTATTTTATAAATACAATGGTTCAAGTTAAGTAGGATTTCCCGAAACAAAAATTCCAAAGGTCACTCGACCGCAACTCATTTTTGATTGCATATAGATAGTTAATTTTATAAACAAGTATAAATTTAAATCAAAGGCACATAATGAAACGTGATCGCTGTTTCTTAAGTAGGTAATTCCAAGGTATATCTGATTTATTGTAAAATGAATCTCTTTTGTTGTCGATTTCTTGGTTTTGAAAAACGGAAAATTATAATCAATGGTATGAACAGATGAAGTATTTTTTTCTCTAATAAAACTGTTGCATTAAAATCTTTAAACTAAATAATTCATTTATGTTTGATCTAAGGTAGTATAGTTTGTTGCTAGGTATATAAATAAGTTAGAGTTTGTCATTAGAAACCGGTACAATAAAAAAACGTTGTTCATATTGATGTTTAATAGCAGCTCTTATTCAATTTAATACCATCAACAAAAACGTATTTAGACTTTTGCTCTAAAATAATTAGTGGAGCTAGTAATAGACTATAAAGAAATTACGATTGAAATCCCTATGCTGCGTCGCGCTAGGAACCACCCTGTATACGTTACATAAAAAATAAGAACTCTCCAAGTACTTTTCAATAAAATATGATGTTCAATTTAAAAAAAGTTTGATACGCAAGTGAAATACAGTACGCCACTGGTGACCAAAAATATTCTTGATTCTAGCAACATTTTTCCTCCGAAGGAATTATTATTATTATGCATCGAATTTGTTGAATTTATGATTTACCATTCCATCTTGAATAATAACGGGCGATCAAAAATGAGTTGCTGTCGAGTCGCCTTTGAAAGTTCAAGTTAAATACGATTTCCCATGTAAACAAAAATTCCAAAGGTGACTCGACAGCACCTCATATTTGATCGCATTGTATTGGCAACTTAACGTAAATTCTCAGACACCTACACAGGTTTTTACCCTTACCTCTACATCTAATAAATCTATATAAATAAAAAATAAGTAAGTAAAGGAATGTTGTGTAGGTTTTGAAGAGGTAATATAATGCATCTCGTGTCAAATATGTACCATTGAATTTAAGTTATAAATTCAATGTATGTATGATTGACTTCATGGCATACGGCCCCTATTTCTTCTTTACGAAACTAAAAAAGCAGTTAACAATTGGGTTTTCCGCGTTTTTTCAAAAACCTTGAAAATGAACTCCAAGCACATAAAAAAAATTAGTGGTACTCATTTTTTTGTCAAGTGAAATCGTTGTGATTAGCAAACACGATTTTAAAATGAACGGCGTTTGAAAAGTTTCGAATGACCGCCACGTTGCTGTGACGTCGCTACGCACGTTGGCGCTCAGCCGTAGCATTGCTTACAATCGATTCAGAGAAAGAAAACGTCGTTTTGACGGAAAAAAGCGTCGAATAATTATTGCATTTGTGCCTGGGTGTGATAGCAGAAGTCATCGCGAACCTAATAAATTGTATATAAACGTCCCAACAGGAAATATACGAAAAAAGTTCGACGTGATACCGCGAGTTTGACATCCCATTTGTATTGTGAAGACGATTCTAATTAATTAAAGTACATAACGTCGATTTACTTTCAGTCAATTATCGACGAAAATCCATCGATATATAATATTGTAATTCAGAATATAGTTTACTTGGAACTCTGTTCTGAGCATATCTGTGCCCTTCCAGTGCACACATTTTTCTCTATTTTCACTTCCACATATCTAACACCCTAATTTTCTCGTTGAAATCCGTAAGGTGCATACTTTATTAGGTACCTACATACACACAAACACTTGATGTTACACTTCCTATGAACCATAACAGATTTGCTTCTGGGCTTTGACTCCACTCAAACGAGTAGCATGGAAAAACTCACTTTTCGAGAAAAAGGCGGCGACCATTCACACTTCAACCTTTGGCAGACTATCTAACTGTCCCTTTACGAACCAGTCAGAACTCAGTTTATGGTAGATTGCCATAATAACTCGAATCGAACTCCTATCAGTTTCATGCACTAATATAACTCCCGATCGGCAACCCGCATAGTGATGTAAGCGACGCTCGGCCAATATCGGCATGTCGTCGGTTGCATGACAAAATTTGAAAGTTTTACGATATTATATGTTGTTTATTGACATGCTGCAATTAGGAAAAAAAGTTTTTATATGAGATGTTTAATTACAGGTTATAAACTTTACAGTAAGACACAAAAAAGTTACAATATTTTTTTTCAGGAAGACCCTATTTGTCCATTTACTGTGTCTATCTAATTAGTATTATCTTTGCTTGAGCTTATCTCAACTTACACTTAATGTTGCAAGCAACTATTGAATATATGAAACATTGCATACAATAATTTGCTTTGTTAACGTAGGTACATACAGAATCATTTCATTATCAACTTAAAAGAGCTAAAGTTATACCGATTCACAAAAAAGGCAACAAAGATATAATAAAAAACTATCGACCTATATCCCTGTTGCCAGTTTTCTCAAAAATTTATGAAAGAGTAATTTTTAACAGGTTACTTTCATACCTTCAAAAATACAAATTGATTTCGGTCAGTCAGTATGGTTTCTTGCCTAATAAGTCTATTAATGATGCAATATGCTTTTCATTGAAATTCATATTGAATCAACTTGATAAGACGAAAACTGGTGGCGGGGATTTACTTCGACTTATCCAAAACATTTGAAATTATTGATCATCGGATCTCAATTGGTAAATTAGAGAGCTACGGAGTTCGAGGTACTGCTTTGAAGTTGATGAAGTCGTACTTGAGTAGTAGATCTCAGCAGGTCTATATTGAAAACAGCAATGGTTCTGGAACACTCTCAGAGACAACTAGTTTAAACAAAGGGGTGCCACAAGGGTCCATTCTTGGCCCATTGCTCTTTTTACTCTTCGTCAATGATCTAAAACCATCACTACAAGTTTCAACACTTATTCAGTATGCCGATGACACGTCATGTTTGTTTGCCAGTGAAACTGCTCAGGAATTGTCCGACAGTCTAACATTAATATCAAAAAACATGGTAGAATGGTGTAATAATAACAATTTAATCCTTAACACACAAAAAACTGCTCTTGTAGCTTTCACATACTTTAATGACCAATCCTTAGGTACTTGTAAAAATGTCTGGCAAGTCCATTCAACAAACTGAAGTGACTAAATTCTTAGGGGTGCATATTGACCAAAATTTGAAGTGGTGCAAGCAGGTTGACTATGTTGTGGGCAGACTGAATAGTGCATGCTATGCTATCAGATATCTCAAAGAGCGCCTAATAAGCCTTAACTCAATTCGAGCGTATTACTTCGCAGCTGTACATGGTGTACTAGCTTACAGCATACTACTTTGGTTCAATGCTTCTGATACACGTCGCGTACTTATAGCACAAAAACGCATTATTAGGGCTATGGTTGGTCTTCCAAGTGCGGCTTCTTGCCGAACTTCATTTAAACAATTGAAAATTTTAACTCTACCCAGTCTTTTTATGTACTGCGCCTCGGTACATACGTGGCGAAACACAAATGATTTCAATAAAAATAGCCATATTTACAGCGCAATGAGTACAAGGAATGGTGACAATTTGAGCATACCCACTCACCGAACAACGCGTTATGAGAGAGGTTATTACTATAATTGCATCAAAGTATTTAATGCTATACCAAAGGCAATAAACCAATCAAGGAATATTCAATTGTTTAAAAAAAACTTAAAATTATATCTACTTGAAAAAAATTACTACTCCGTGGGCGAGCTTGATATGAATTAAACAGGACAAATTAACATCTTATTTTCCTCAATGTGTATATATAACGTTTGTCCTTTTTATGTTTTTAGTTTGTCTTTTTTTCTATATTATTCTACATTCATGACAATGCCAATGTAAAGGAATTTATTCATGGCAATAAACTATTATTATTATTATTATTACATAGACGGATAATACTGTAATCACTTAACAAGTTTAGGAATAATAAAATCACGATTGTTACTATCATATTGTGCCGAAAAGTTATTAACAAATAAGGTACATATTTATTTATATTAACATAATATAATAAAACATTTCACAAAGTATAGAATTAACACATGTTAACTATTGTAGTAATCTAAAAAGTAAGGAATGATGAAATCTCGGATATTCGCATCGGGTCTGGTTAAATAGTCGCTAACAAATAAAGTATTTACACAGTAGATACCTTGCTGGGCGAGTGGAATGAAGTCTTCAACGTTATCTATATATTTTAAATCCAATAAACAGTGTGTTGCATGGATTGCTTTGTTGAATGGTGGGCTGCAAATAGTAAACAAATACAAATAAAGAAAAATTAGAAAACATTCTCAGTTCATTGTAGCAAATAAAATCTGGTCAATTAAACAATTAAGATTGTATTGAATAGGCATGTGAAGAAAATTAACAAAAATGTCCATTAATAGCCGTTTGCATTTAATCAGAGCATAAAATCCATGGCAACCATTGTCGCAATAATCGTTGCCATGAATTTTAAGCTACGTTTAAGCTAACCTCTTTGAATATAAAACCGACAGGAAGGAGCATAGCAACCTACGTCCATACATGGAAAGGGGACGGAAACGGCCATATTGGGGATTTACGATAATTCAACCGGTTTAACCGGGTTGGTAGATTTTGCTATGGTTACAATTATTGAGACAATTGTTTCTATGGTGATTTCTACCAACCCGGTTAAACCGGTTGAATTATCGTAAATCCCCATTGACCTTCCATTTATGACTCATTTTTGATTGACATTTAATAAAAGTTAGTTGCGCGATTGTGTATGGTGTGTATTTTTCACGAATTTGAGTTGTTTGAGTGTATTTTTCGATTAGTTTAACGTGTTGATAGTTAGTGTTATAGTGAACTTTTAAAATACTATAAATTATTGTAATTATAGGGTAGAAATAGTGATATTATACTGGACTTGAAAAACTCCTAATTATGGTTAGCTGCTCAACTTGTGGAATTTCTTACAACGCTAAACATCAAAAAGGAAAGCTGACTTTTCATGCGTAAGTATTTCGTTTACATTATATGTTTAAAGATAGTCAAAAATTTAGATTTAAAATTAGAAAGAATGAACTGTCATAAAAAGGTAGGTTAACTGCTGCGCGCGTAGCATTGGCGTCACAAAGGGGTTTTCATGATTACTAACTTTAGCGCATTTTCCAAACACTATAAATAAGAAATTTACATTGCGCATTTTGTGCATGCGCACATCTAATGTTTACAATATGCGATATACGGACAGAGAAAGTGGCTTCGTTGGAAAATGCACTAAAAGTATGGAACTATAAAAGTATAGCTATACTGAATCTAAAGTAAAGAATTTCTCTATGTTCTAACAGATTTCCGAAAAATGTTGGAAGAAGAAATGCTTGGATTAATTGTGTTAGATATATAAGCTTTTAATATTTTGAACTCGCATAAAATTTCAGAAGTCGGGTATAAGCAGGCAACATGCCCTACCAATATTGAAGAAATTCGTAGGTTTTATACAAAATATTGCAAGTACATAGTCAACTTAAAAATGAGAGACAATATGTTTGTTACAAGATCACAAAGAAGAACTGGATTCGCTGGGATGTTGATGGGGTTTTCTGCATTGTTAGGAATGTATGAAGAATATATTGCCACACAGATTTTACATTTCCTTCCAACATATAAGTTGCATCAAGATCACCTCGAACTCTTTTTTGGAAGTGTTAGATCACAGGGTGGATATGATAAAAATCCAACTTGTAGAGAGTTCACGGCCACTTACAAAAAAATTTTGATACATGCTGAAGTGAGAGATGGTGGAGCAGGAAATTGTATACCACTTCACGACATAAATATTTTGAATATTAGTTCGTCTTACAAGAGTCCAGAACAAATTATAAATGAAAGTCTTCCAAGCATAATAGAAACTAGTGAAGATGATTCTGACGATTTTATTTCCAAGTTTCTCACAGACCATGATTATGTGTTTAACTTAGATTCATTGTCTCCCTATGTTTTGGAAGTTGTTAAATACATTGCTAGTTTTGTCAGCTTCAATCTTGGACATAAGCTCAAATGTGAAAATTGCATTCCTTATTTATATGGACAGGAAGAAAATTTCTTAAATTCATTGATATACCAAAAAAGTAGAGGACGCCTGTCATATCCAAGCAGTGACGTATTAAAAATTTGTTTACAATGCGAAAAGCTTAAAGAAGACAACAAATTGTAAGAAAATCTGTAATCGATAAAAATTGTATATCATTACAAGTGTTGAAATTTTTTTTGGGAAGCAGTATTTTGCATAATATGATAAATCATGATAGTTCACCAATTGAAAGTCACAGAATATTGTTAATGAAAAGTATCATAAATGTATATTTAAATGTTAGGATTAATTTTATTTGTAAACAACAAACTGCATTAGGTAATGATAAAGTTAGGAATTTATTGACTAAACTCATTCTATTTAAAGGTCAGTGAATGTTTTCTTATTTTGTTCCTCCTTGTTTCCTTGAATATTTAAGAAGACTGACATTATGTTAAATTTAAATTGTATGAGGGTCTTGTATCATTTGTGCTCTTGTTTTTTTTAATCAATAAAGATGATAGCAAACCTACTTTAAGATTTTTGACGATTTCTCATATACACGGGGAAAATGTCTGTTGGACAACTTCAGATTCGTGTGCACACCAACAAACATACAGTAACCCACTATAAATAATTACACTAGAACTTTCCACTTATACTTTTTGTGCACCATTTGACTATAAACTAAATAGGCACGCCACTGGAAAGCGGAAATTCACGACCGCCATATTCACCTTCCATTCTGATCCCCTTTTTTACATTACTATGCTCCTTCCTGTCGGTTTTATATTCAAAGGCTAACCTCCACTTAAATTTGTCGGTGTAAACAACCATAATTAACCTTTCATTTAATCGTTTGTATAAAAAAATGGGATGCAGAAGTTCTAAGTTTGCCGTCCCATAGGCTGCGCACTCCTTTGTTATTAAATCCTTCCAAGCGCGCGATTGCGACACTCCCAGTGGCGGCGCCATATGAGTATTTCATGTTTTATTCTGTACCCTTTTCTATAATTATGAATAAATTTTGTTTTAATTGCGTATAGGTATTGATTATTATTCAACAATTGTTTTCCCTTCACCATTGTAAATATATAGGTGCAATTATTAGGACGAGTAAATTTTCCACGCCACTGGTCAGTAATTTTTGTAGCTACTCAACATTCGAACATCGCCGAGGTCAGGATTCACATGCGCGACACGAGGCAAACTTATAACGAACTGCATTAAAAAAAATTGTGAAGACCATCATAGAAAGGTTTCTTGATTAATGTGCATATATGCAATCACAGTGGAGAATGTGTGTTATTAAAACCTTTCTCACCTTTCATCAACTACCATACCATCACCGGCTTCCAATACATGAATAAGAGGTTCGCGTTTCTGAGCCACAACAATAAATCGCATATCATGGAATGCTCCGTAACCTCTCCTTGCAACTTCTTTTCTCCAATAGTGAGCAGCAGCCAATCTGTTATTCTCTTTTTCATATTCGGTATGTATGTTTTCACTGAATTTAGGATTGCCAAATTCAAACGTTTCCTCCTGTGATTAAGAATAAGGCAAATAGCATTAAAAGTGTATAGACTTACGTCCACAAATTTCTTCTGAGCAACACATTTATCGACATACGATTCATGTAGTATCCAATTTCCTGCACTCATACTTGCCAGCGTTTTCTCATTTCGTGCTAACGTTAAACATAACAGATGTGTACTGGAGGTATCAAAGTGAATGGAATCGATAACTGATGCTCCCAGTCTCTCCAAATTTGCTACCATCTCTACACGTTTTTCTGGATTTACACCAGAAAACATAAATATTTTTTTCTGTTTGTACTGTAAATAAAAAATTAAGTTCACGTTATATAATGAATTCGATTTCCAATTAGAGCAAGGTCATGCAAATTACAGACATAGCAAAAGGTCACAATTACAGACTGCTATATGTGCTCCATGTAATTTATATAAAAATGCATTTTGCAATATAAGTTTTATCCCTGTTGAGTGTTCATTAAAAACAAAATTGAAATTTCCATAAAGTCTAAACTAGGGATGAAACGGATCATTGTTTGGCCAGATATTCAGCTTCTGGTCACGTTGTATATGTAGTCCAGGCACTTTAGGTAAAAAATAGACAAAATTAGTAACTAGCTGATTTTTGGTGAGTTGTTAGTGTGTGATAAGGTAAGTATTTTCTGAAAGTTCCCCTCACTTCCTCCGCTTGCTTCACCCAGTAGAGCGATAAAAAAGACTTAAGTAGCGCGAATACAATAATATCGCTATTGCGCTCTCTCCTCGGCACAGTTTTGGTGGTTGTAGACTTAAATTGTTCAGAATAGAGTAACCACTACAACAATTCATGGCATTTAAAACTGTTTCCTTTAAAATGTTTGGTAATTTTTGTGACGTTACAATGAAACATAAAAAAATTGCAGTGTCTAGCACAGATACAACTCGCACACCTGCGTATGCGCAATTCTACCCATTTATGTCTAAGAATATGTGTACCAAATTTGAGTCCAATTCGGTTCGGTCGTTTAGCTGGAAATGAGAGTACCTACAGACGGACCGACATCATTGAGATTTTGTTTGATGTTTGATTCCTGGATCATGGTGCTTCAAACCGTGTATTCCCGTCAAAGGAGTGGGGGGTCATTTTTGACCCCACTGAAATACCTCCCCTACTAACGTGCTGGTGGTAAAACCGAGGTAATCCACTGAACATCGCGTCGTAAACGGCACATTAAAAATCAGACGCAAGGAGACACGAGTAGACCCTTATCAGCTTTTATGAGCTTACTTGCATGTCGAAATGTCCAGAGGACCATAAGGAATATCTCGTAGGAGCTCGCTCCGTAGCCGCACCAGCGTTGTTTGATGGGCCTTACATGAGGAAAACAACAGTCAGTGTTAGAGGAAACTAGAGAGAATTATGCTGCATACACTGATAGTTCATCGACCTACAAAGTACAATACGTTGTCGACGGAAAGGAGTTTGGCCGCGACCTAGCTAACCGGGATATTTGCCATTCGTATGTCCAATACGTACTCACACACTATGGTCAGTCCACAGTGATAGTATTTGACGGGTATGACTCAACAACGAGCACGAACGCCTGTGAGGAAAGCAGATTTCCCTGTGTGGACTTGCAGGTAAAGCAAGACGTCGACACCTTGATTGTGACGGTCGTTATCGAGGCGACCACTTTAGACCAGGTTGCCGTAGTTGCGATGAATGTGGATTTATTCGCGCTTATGATCATTTAAGCGAATGTTCTTCGAAAATGTTTTTCGTTAAACCAACTACTAAAAAAATTAAGGTTTTTACCATACAAGACGTTAAACCGTACAAAAGAGATTTTTCTCTTATTACATGCAACGCGACGTCGGGATTCGACAAGCCCTCGTCTTGATTCGGAAAAGGAAAGAAAGCAGTTTGGAAATTGTTGAACGCATCTGCAAAAAAACTAGTTTCGGTATACACTGTCGCTCACCAGAAAGTTTCATCAGACATCGACTTGGCCATTCGTCCTCCAACCGACGCGACGGCTGACACGGCGTTTCTCCCTTCTCACCGCGTATACCTTCAGGTACAACATCGGCTTGGAAACCACTAACACCCACAGAATGGGGATTCCGGATATCTTACGAGCAAGTCACTCCGGCACCAAGCCCCTGGCGAGCTTTTTCATTTAATTATACATATGATTGTAAAGACCAGTGTGATAGACATTGTGACTGCGCCCTAGCTTGTCTTTCCAAATTTACCCGCTGTATAGGAGATTGCGCCAATACATCTATCGCATCCTCTGCAGGATGATAAGGATGTTAAAGATGCGAAATGGTAACAAAGTTAGGCGCTCTGAAAGCGTTTTAATTATTTATTGGATTTGTGGTTGAAAAATTGCGCAACTGTACATAAAATTCCAAATAAAACACCTCAAAATGTTATGGATAATTGCAGTGGTTATTATTTAGCACAACCACTGTCATTTTGAACAATTTAAGGCCACAACCACCAAAATCGGTGCCATAGATGGAGCACAATAGCGATTTCATTACTTTCCGGTCACAGACTCTTTGTATCGCTGTACCGGGTGAAGCAAGCGGGGGAAGTAAGGGGAACTTTCAGAAAATACTTACCTTATCACATACTAACACCTCACCAAAAATCAGCTAGTTACTAATTTTGTCTAATTTAGGGCATTTTTTTGTCTAAAGTGCCTGGGCTAATGGTGCGACGCGTTTAGCACTGCACAAGTACTGCCTATACGATCAGAAGAATTCGGGCGGATTGAGGTGATCACTTGCCCACCATACCATCCAGTATACAATTGATAAATATGAAACAAAAAACATGAAGAATAAATATCAATCAACAAAAATGTCGGACACTGCTCTGCTTAGACTATCAAAGAAAGGGGACTGATAATATTCTAGAGGGCAATGCTGCGCGTTGAAGCCTGTGACGGTCATATTTTCGGAGTCAAAGTTTGTTTAATTTTTCATTTTCGTGTTTATACGATCCTTCAGTCTCGAAGTGTGTGATTAAAAACATTATTGGACAATGGTACGTTGTAGTGCACGGAAGTGATAGCCAAAAAACACACAAAAGTATATTGTTTCACAGGTAATTATAGGTTAGTTTTCGGTGAAATAATAAACAAATGTGAGCTTCACTTTACGATCATTATTATCACTCCTTACTCTTTCCTTCTCTAAGCTGCTCTGTTAGGGCAAAAACTAAATTGGTTAGAGTTGCCAACTAAATTTAACTGACCGAATCAAGTAGTATATGGGTAAGTAAGCATGATGGTTTTAAAAATAAAATTAATACTGTTAACGGTAATCCACCAAGTTCATGCATTTTAAAGTGAAGAACCAAATTAACGTGCACAATCACTAAAAGCGTAGTAAATCTGTATTACCTGCTCTGTATTCATTTCATCATCCCATCCAACAGTATTTGGCTGAGAATCCTTAAGGTTTGTATCTATAACAAAGATTTTCATTAATTAAGTACAGGGTATAACGAATTTTGACTTTTGGGAACATCCTTGGTTTTGGTAGTCTCTACCACCCAATTTTCTTTCATCGTAAATTTACAGCTTACATCTTTTGAGGTATGCAGTTGCATTACCAAGCCAAACCCACACAACATAATTGAGATTTTATGTAATACAAAAAAATTGGTAGTTCCAATTTAAAAAAATCAAGTCACCCTTGATTGAAATTCTGAAAATTGACGGGAGTGATTTTTTTTAATACAAAAAAATGTTGACCGCGTAAGGACATTTCATGATTAGTGACAGTGCAGAGTCACGGCCTTATTCTAAGTTTTAGGATAATTTATTGCATTCAATTTTTTCTGGACATGTACCTACTTTTTAAAAAAAAATGACAACTTATGGCTAAACAACTCATTTTAGACATCATCTGTAATACATGAAGTCACACTAAAATTGACCAAGGAATCGAAATATGCAATCATATACGACAGGAATGGGAACACTGGCTATATGATCCTTCGAGAACTGCCTCGTTGCATGTACACCGTCGCAACAGGAAGAATTGTCTCTTTTTACATCTAGTGAGTTTAATTTGCTTGTCTTCAAGGGCGTACTCATACATCAGTGAGTGTTCAACTTATGACGCTGCAATCGGCAAGTTAAACACGTTTTTTTTAATCAAACCTAAGAATATTCTAGGTTAGACGCAAGCTAGCTACCAGAAAATATCGATGCATACATACAGACCTTAAAACTATTATCTAGAGAATGCCAGTTAGGCGTTGAAGCAGGTGGTCAAAAATGGACGATTTGGTTTCATTTCTGGGGAGTAAGTGTAACCTACAAATTTAGATTCGTCATGAAAGATGGCCGCCGGGCTAAAATTGTAGTTTACCATTCCAAAGTCTGGTTTCATTTGTAAGGATTAAGAGTACCATACAAATATCGGTGCAGCATAATGCCAGGATTATTATTTAAGATGGTATTTTGTCAAATTTGGTAGCTTAGTGACTCATGACGTCACAAACATGGCCGCCAAGTGAAAATTATACCGTTTTAAGGCCAGGATCAACTTGTGGGGACTACCGGTATAATACAATTTTTAATTTCAATCAAACATAAAGACAGGATCAATGATTTGGATGATACTTTGTGAAAGTTGGTAGCTAAGATGGCAGCTAAGCGGTTTTCATGATACTGCTTTATAATTTGATATAGACTTTGTATTCACTTAATTCTGTTTAACGATGAAGTTTCGAAAACATAATCTGGTTGTGAGTAGTTACTGCAAACCTCAATTTTACACATATCCCTACATTTCAATGAATTTTTGATACAGTAGCATGTATTCGGCTCACAATCTTTCTTGCAGGAACATGACAATAATTCAAGAACAAGCATCAATTGTTGGCAAGTATCCAATTTCTGTAGGATTTGTTAGCATGCCCTCCTGCCAGGGTTGTAAGGTTGTACAGCGGCGTCATGCAATGGTATGGTTCGCAGTTTCAGTTTCCTGTCAATAATTATTTCCTCCTGTGTATCTGAACCTTCTGCTAAAGCTGAAGGCACGGGCTGTGTTATAATCCCATTAACTCGATGAGTGGTTCCACCGCCTGAGAAAGTTTCTTCTAAACGATCGATATTATCCCACGCGAGGTGTGTAAATGCATTTGGAATTCGGAATTACTAAGCGTTGCTCTTCTCAAGCTGAAATCTTCTGCATAGCTGTTGCTGTCTTAATTTGTTAGATTTGAGAGTATGAAAGCCCATGGCCACATCTATTTAGGAGTTTAGTTAACGACTTTGCCAAAGAGGGATTTAAGTGCAAATGGTAGCAAAATATGCTTCGGAGATTTAAACTTTCCTTCTGTGACAGCATGAATAAAATCTTGACCTAATGACAAACTTACACGAGACACTCTACTAGAATGTTGTATTATGTTATCCCCTCTCAAGAGAAACTGCAGGAACAGATGGGTATTCCTTGGAAGATTTTCATTTCGCGGCCATATTTGTGACGTCATGATGTCACTAAGCTACCAAATTTGACAAAATACCATCTTAAATAATAATCCTGGCATTATGCTGCACCGATATTTGTATGGTACTCTTAATCCTTACAAATGAAACCAGACTTTGGAATGGTAAACTACAATTTTAGCCCGACGGCCATATTTGTAACGTCGCGTCGTATCGTAATTAAACTACCGAATTTCACAAAATATCATCTCAAACATTGATCCTACCTTTATGCTAAATCAAAATTTGTATGATACTATTACTCCTTACACATGAAACCAGACTTTAGAATGCTTAACTAAGATTTTCGCCCGGCGACCATCTTTGTGGCGTCATAACGTCACTAAGCTACGGAATTTTACGAAGTATCATACCAAACACTTCTCCTACCTTCATGACGAATCTAAATTTGTAGGTTACTTACTCCCCAGAGAGGAAACTGCACATGCCCTCTGGCTCAACGCCTAAGTTTCAAAGCGTGGACGCCAACACTAATCGATCTGACAATATACGTGACGCATTTATATTGGGAATCCAGTCAAATAACATAAGACAGCGATTACTCGAGAATCTGAGCCTTGATGACCCGTACAATGAAGCATTATCCTTAGAGAAGGCAGAGATTAGTTGCCAACAATACAACGTTATCGGCTTGAATGCGGCTCAACAATATGGAGGAGGAGCATCACAGCCTGAAGGTCATTGCCAGGAACTTAACGTCGCAGCTTCCCCTTTTACAAAAATAAACGAAAATGTTTCTTATGTGGTGGACGTATTCATCCCTGAAAGGAGTGCCTTCCTGTCCATGAGTCCTGTCAGTTTTGTGGTAAAAAGGGGAATTTCGCTTATTAAGCCAAACAGTGCTGCTGTTTTGAAACGACAAGAAAATACTGCTCCTAAAAAAAGCAACTGTAATAGCATAGCATACATTCAGGGAGTCCGAGCGGAAGCATTGGTTGATACAGGTAACAGTTTGCATTTCATAAATGAATCGTACTTTAATTAGTTATGACTTAAAAAGAAGCCTAGTAACCTATTTCAATGGTTTCAACGTCTCTACCAGCACAAGTTGCAGGAGAAACCTGGGTATCTGCTCAAGTCGGCCAGTAGGAGTTTCAAAATTGACATTTACTAATAGGCTTGCAATCAGAAGAAATATTTGAAAATAAGGGTACCGCAGGTCTGTACCTGCTGCCAAACACCGTACACTTTGATGGGTTCTTTCAATCCACCAAAAATTAACTCAAGAGAAGAATGCTTTTTGAGAATGTCGTGACCTACAATCAAATTAGCGCACAAATCCTTCAATCTACTATACTCCGTTCAATAGTTATTGTCCCAGTAGTAGGCCATGTTAGGGTGATGAAATTCACTGTGTATATGTGCTGTCACTCATTATAGGTTATCTCCATTTTATACAAAATGATAATTTCCTGTCAATGTGCAAAACCTAGTTGCCAGATTTAGTTTTGGATTTTGTGGTAATCTTGTTATATGTTTGATACGTATAAATTTCATGAGAAACAACTTGCTCAATACATTTCATACTTTATTGAGTAGGCAAATGGCTCTAATGAACATTATTAATTTCAAAAGGCTATATATGAACTTATTTACAATTACATGCTTAGTAATAGCAGGTTGCTGGTGGTGGGCTTTATGAACTAAACACTTCCACATTTAAATGCCGATATGCTGGTCTAAACTTCGAACAGCTTTAGTCTGGAGCTGAAGCAGCTTTGGGAGATTTGTGGTGTAGATTCTCAGAAGATACCCACTGCTCGATAAGTCAGTACCATCATATCCGAGATGCCCTCAACAACCGCATTGTGATTAGTACATTACTGTTAATCTTATTTCCGACGGGTAGCTTACTATCCTTGGGGAACCTTTTAGTCTTAGAGCAGCTGCCTGATGGAAGTAATTGATTAACCACCCAATTTTGAAAAATCTCCCCGTTCATAGTTTGGTGATAATCCCTATTGTTACTATTTCAAGTTTGTAATAGATTACACCCTTCCAAAAATCCAAAACGAGACGTGTTCATTTTTCGAGTGATAATTCCAAATCAGTCGTTGCAAATCTTCCCGAAATGAAAAATTTTTATATATATATATATCAGTTTTAGGTGGTGGGCCAAAAGGTTTCAATTCAAAAGTATCCAGCCGGATAATTCTTTCAATGGTTTTTTCTGATACCTATAATAGTACAAACCCCAAAATTAGACCGAAAGTTAAGTTCAATGCATAAATACTCACATCCCAAATGTCACTAAGCCGGGCTAAGATTTCCGCTTTCCTTAGGTCTGGCCTGTCTGTTTTATAATGCCTGTAGGATTTTAAAATTTGCATTTTCGCATCTGAGTTTATGGTTTTCGGCATATTTGCTTAATTATAAATCACAATTGACCGATACGTATCCATGACGCCGATATACAAACATATTAGGTCTAGTGGCAAACAAAGTGTGAAAGCACTGACAACATTGTACGTTTAACCTCAAATAGTCAAATTAGACATTCCTGTACTTCACAGCTGATTCTGATAGGAAGTTTTAATTTTATTAAACATAAAAACAAAATTCCATGGCTACCTACTTGGACAATAACTATTGAACGGAGTATACATCCTACTAATAGGCTTTGTGCCCTGATTTTATTACAGGTCATGACATTCTCAAAAAGCATTCTTCCCTTGAATTAATTTTTGGTGGATCGAAATTTTGATTTTGATAAAAAAAATTTTGTGATTTTGACAAGAGAAAATAAACGATTTCGAATCTAAATCGGGACAGAACTCATTAGATAAAGAATTGATTACCTATTATTTTAGGTAAGAAACTACATAATTGGCCACAGTACTATCTAATTAAACCAAGGTTTTCTTTTTTGCCTACTGCAGCAATCGTTAAAATCTATATAATTAGTTACCTATAAAATAAAATGTTCATAATAAACCTCTCTTCT